AGCCTGCTGCGCCTGCTGAACCTGCTGCCGGCGGAAGGCGGGCTCGGCCAGCACGGTGCCGAGCGCGAGCACCAGCACCATCAGTTCCTGCATGGTGACGCAAAGAGTTAGTTAGACACGCGTCGAAGTCACCACATCCTTAGCTCTCCACGCTGGTTTTCGTGGCAGGCACTGCCTCCTGTCTGACTTACCCCTTTGAATGCAACCATGTTGCTGCTGTCTGGGCGAGCGTGCTGCTGTGTGAAGAGATGGAGCACTGAGTGATGAAGACCGGACATCCGGGCGCTTTATACTGACAGTACCTGACGAGTTGGGAGGGATGGGTCATGCAGGATAGGGTGCCGTGCGGAGAGTGGGAGGTGGGAGGCGTCCCGGGATGACATTGGTCTGGAGCCTTGGGGGTGCTTGTCTTCTTTAGCCGCCGACTTTATGGTACCACACCTCCTTCTCTCCTGCCCCCCCCTCCTCAATGTGTGCGGTGTGCGCTGGTGGTGGGTGGGTGAGTCATCTCTATAGCCAAGTTTCATTATTGTTGTTGGGGGAGGTTCTACTGTGCTAAAAAACAAAAAACTAACTAACTTAACTACCTTGAACTACCTTAAAATGATTTAAAATTAGATTCCTACATCCACATCCACATCTCATCTCACGTCATTAATACCGCTTTGTTGTCATTTATGGTTCCTAATAATATTTTCAGTTTTTCTGCGTTGAATTTTACTGCATTAAAATATTTTTGTCGTCACACGTGGGCCATGGCCGTTCCTATACCGCATGCCTGGTGAATCGTGCACGTGATAGAAGCTGACCCTCGTCGCCTCGACACCCACACCTCATAATATTTCCAGGGACAGTGCCCTCCCGGAATTTCAATAATATCCGCGGTCGCTTCAAATTCCGTTTAAATAACGGTTAATGGGGTTTGTGGGGTTTGTGTGTTCTGTCCATGGCGTAAACGCCTGTAAAACCGGGATAGGCCACCCAGTGGTACACATATGCTTCACGGGCGCGCCTACCTAGCAGACGTTTGGCCCATACTCTTGGGTTTTAGTATTGCACAAATAAATTATTTACTACAAATCATAGCGAGCGCGAACATTTTTTAGAAGTCTTACCTGAAGCACTTTGAGAACCGTCCGAACCGGATGACAGTTTCGGCAGCCCTCCAAGAGACTTAACGCCTGCGAAGCCAGGGTAGGCCTGCCAGCAATGCATCCCTGCTAAACGGGTGTGCCTGCATCTCAGGCGTTCCGCCCAGTCTGCACTACCCCTCTCATTTAAAATTAGGTTAAAAAACGCTGTGCAGAATTTGTGGTTAGGGCGAACTTTTCTTTTCGCTTCCCGGATTTCCCGTGAAGCCGTGGTAGAATCTAACTATCATCGCATCGGGCATTTCTTAGTAAACCCCGGGCAAGTATCCTCCTAGATAATAACAATGACTCTCTCAGCTAACACATTGCCGTGAGCATGCGCGACGAGTCCCATCTGGAATTCTCAACTGGACCAACTGGATTCGTCTATGACGGCAGTCTAAGATTTAACGCCTGCGAAACGTAGATAGGCCGCCTTGCGATACAGCTATACTTAACGGGCGGGCCTATCACCCAGGCGCTTCGTCATACCGTTTTTCTCGTGTATTTGTGAACTTTTTTCAGAAAACCTTGATTATTTTCCACCAAACGGCTTGTTGCGGTTTATTTTGTTTTTTGTACGTCGCATTATGCCGGACCCCCGATACACTCTCCGCCGTTGGTCTTCCGGGCGAGTCAGTGGAAGCTCATAGGCCGTGCACGTTCGTCCTTTGCGGGAGGCTGCCCCCTCCCTCTCCCTTCCCCAATCCCATGGCGAGACGGGGTGGAGAGAGGGGGGGGGGAGAGCATGAAGTAGAGGGGAACCGGGGACATCCGAGTAGGCCTTAGGATAAAGATATAAAAGACAAGGGGGCCGGATGTCCAGACAGACTCAAGTCAGGCAGCTGACGGCCCAAACCCCAGAGCAAAGACAACCACCGCACACAAAAATGAAGGTAAGTAACAAAATAGTAGTTATACCTGACCTACACATTCGTGTAAGCGCGAGCTGTAAGTGCAATAAGCCCTCCTCCTTTCATCTTTGCCAGGTGCTGCTCCTCTCAGTCCTCTTGGTCGGCGCCGTGCTGGCCGAGCCCGCCTTCCGCCGGCAGCAGGTTCAGCAGGCGCAGCAGGCTGCTCAGGAGAGCGAGGAGGCCCCGTACGCGCCGTCCGGATGGAAGCCCTCCGGGCAGCGCCTGGAGCTGCCCCCGATGCAGTACGGCGCCCCCAAGGAG